TTGGAGAAATGGCTCCGCAGCTAAGAGTGCATATTGCTTTTCCAGAGGACCGGAATTTGATTCCCAGCACCCATGACAGGAAGCTCACAACACTCCCGCTCCAGGGCATTCTACCCCTCTAGCCTCTTTGGGATCTGCTCAGGTGTGGCATACATACGCATACAGGCACACACACACATATGACTAAAAACGAGATAAACCTGAAGAAAAAATTGATTGTACCAACAGATAGGTCGATGTTTCAGTAACAGACAACTTGTGAAGTCCAACATGCATTTGTTAAATAAGATTATCAGGTGTGAATTAATTAGTAAGCCAGTTTACTAACACCAAGTAAGAATTTGCAGTCTTAGAATTTTGTTGAGGAAGTAAACCTTGTTTTGTTGGAAGGAACATTGATGATTAGTGAGTTTCTCTTTTCTGTAGTGTTGTTTACCTGTGAATTTACTTAATAATTTATTAGTATAATCATGATTATATTTTATGTTCAGAATTTTATTATTATTTTCTTGCATCAAATCAATTTCCAACCGGTTAAATTGTAAAAATGTTTAGTGATGTTTATGGTTTTCTTAATTTTTGCTGCTTTGGGATAGCACTGAATACCATAGAAAATCCAGTTCTTAATGAGCAAGTACTTTGGAGGATAAGACCTTTTTTTTAATTGACATTTTTTTCTTTTATTTTACATACCGACTGCATATTCCCTCTCCCTCCTTTCTTCCCGTTTCCTACCCTGATTCCCATCTGCCCCCTTCCCATCCACCCACTCCTCCTTGTCCCCATTCAGAAAGGGACAGGCCTCTCATGGGCTTGAATATAGCATAGCACATCAAGTTGAGGTAGGACAAAGCTCCTCCCCTTATATAAAGGCTGGGCAAGGTAATCCATATGGGGAACAGGTTTCTAAAAGCCAGCTAAGTGCCAGGGATAAGTCCTGATCTCACTGCTAGAAACCTTACAAAAACAGACCAAGCGAGCTTCCATCCAGAGGGCCTTCCGAGGGATCCTGCATCTGACGAAGGACGGCGATACAGTCGGTGACCCATATTGCAGCACCGGACTGAGCCCCCCGAGGTCCAAATGAGAAGCAGAAGGAGGAAGAACATGAAAAACGAAATCAGTACTGCGAGGGATGCTATCACCCACTGATACAAGGGAACGGATCTGATGAGAGTTTACCAAGGCCAGTTGGACTGGGACTGAAAGAGGACGTGATCTAACCAGACTCTCCGAATTTGGCCGGATTCTCTGACTGTGGCTGACCCGAAGTCTTTCTGAAAAGCCATTGACTATGACACTGGGACCTGTTTCCTCTACATATAATGGATTTTGGGGATCCAGTCTGTTTGGACACTCACCTTCCTGGACCTGGAGGGAGGGGGAAGGAACTGGAACTTCCCACAGGGCAGGAAACCCTGACTGCCCTG